ATTGACTAGGGCTCATTATTCTTAAGGCTATTTGTTACCGGGTCAAGAAGAAAGAAATGATCTCAGCTCTTATCCCTCTATTACTCTTGCTTATCTGCTCTCAGAGATTTGTCATTCTTCTTACGCATAATCTTCTATGGTGGATCCCGTGAGAAACATTATCATCAAACTCGGAAGGAAGGTACACTCTCCGGCGACGGCCTTGAAACATATTCAGACACTTCTACAGTTGGCTATGAAGAAGAAGCTCAAGCTTGATCCTCTACTTCGAGATGAGATTCTGGTGACTGTTATGACTAACTACCCAAAATTTTATGCTGAATGGTCGGCGGATGATGTAACTGAACTACTGGTGATGGTTGCCGAAGCAAATGATGAAGTCTCTCCAGTGTCTATTCCAGAACCCGCTGATGGAAATCGGGCCGGGGCATTCCTGCAATTTTTTGCTCAGCGTGCCCTAGAATCTGATGAAGCTGCTTGACGACGAGAGGAGTCCCAAGCTCTGTATCTCGAAGCTGCTCAGAGAGAAGCGACACACAGACAGGAGATTCTTCAACAACGGGTAAATGACTCTGAAACCCCTATTGAAATTTCTCCTAATAGACCTGTTGATTCTTCAATTCCATTGTCTGTGTCTGTTATGCCTGAAAATCTATCAGCTTTGGCTTCCGACAAGTCCCCTGTGAATGTTGATCCTCTATCTGTGCCTGTGATTGATTTTGCTGATGAAAAATCTAATGCGTTGCATGTGTCTGATGAGAAAACAAAGTCCTCTGATGAGCCTAATCCACTAAGTCTAGTTGTTTATGCTTCTGAGAATATTGCTCTGCCTCCGTCTGAGTCTGTTAATGTATCTAAAGAATCTTGCCCTGCTGTTGATCCTCCTGCCTTACCTGCATTTGTTGAGACTGTTGGTTTGTCAAGCCCCCACAAGTCTGAGAAGACAGGTGGAATTCCTGTTTACACTGCAACATCTTTAGAGGAGAGTCTGGAACATGTGCGACATTTTGCCAAGCTGCCATCTGCTTCGATCCCTCAACCTTATCGAGTGATACACCCTTCAGAATCCTCCAGTGAAGATGACAAGATACTGGCTGAGGTGTATGGATCCCAAGCGCCTTCTTCTACTGCTCCTACTGTTGAGGCAACTGCTCATCCTGATTCCTCGAATTTCAGAATTCGAGAGATATCAAATATTGTTGGGAGCTCATCTGCAAATGTTTCTGATTCGAGCCACTCTGTGACTCCAGTCCAGTCCCCATCCAGAGAAACAAGACGGACAAAAAGGAAGAATGTTCCAACAAAGGTTGTTGTTGAAATCAGTGCTGATAATGCTGATGTGGATCAGCCTGTGAAGAAGAGAAAGTCGAGTGAGACTGTTAAACCTGAAGGAGACCCACCTATCCACCAAGTATTCAAGACTCTATGTTCCTCTATTAAGCAACAAGGAACTACTGCTGCTCAAGCTACTTCTGCACCAGCCCCCTCTGCCAGAAAAGGGAAACCGACCACAAGGTCAAGAGGTCGAAGTGTAACTCCAGAGGTTTCACCTGTTGAAGGAATTGACACAACTGTTTATAAACCTCAGTTTGTTTCCCCTGCTGCACAAACAAGATGGGTCACTATGGTCAGAAGGGAGCTGATTGTTCAAAGAACTGTGGATGAGAATCAACTGAACTCCGTTTGCGACATCCTGCCCTTGCTGAATGAAGCTGGTCTTTTGAAAACTGTTACAGATGTTTGTCCTTACTCCAAGCTGCTCACATATGAATTCTATTGCAATCTCAGTGATGAGATTGACAGTCTCACAGGGCCACGACTGATGCAGATCTTCATCAGAGGGAAGTGGTATGATTTTGGGCCAGATGTGTTAAATAAATACTATGGCTTGCCTGCAATGCAAGAAGAAGTTGTTACTGAATGGGACGTGGTGGCCAAAACTCTTACCGTTGGACAGACTACATCTTGGCCTACAGGAGATAAGGACTATTTGCTGAGCTCGCATCTCACGTCTAGATATGTCATCCTACATCGCCTGGCTATGCACAACTGGCTTCCATCAGCTCATTTCAACACAGTTGGCAAGCTTCTGGCAGGGTTCTTATTTAGAATTGGAACTAAGATGCAGTTTGATCTGGGCAAATGGATTTATTATCATGTTCTAACTCTGATTCATCCCCAGGAACAGAAGGTAAGACTACCGTTTCCAAATCTGATTTTTGGCATCCTTACCTCTCAGGGTCTTAAGCCTATGCCCAGTGAAGTGATCAGTCCGACGCTGCTCTACACTGTTGATAAACGTCTTCTTTCTGGAGATCATATTAAGGATGCCGTTCCTGTGACTGCCCCATCGAATTTGGAACCTGATGCTGTGAATGATGAGTCTCCTCATGCTAAAGATGTGAAGCTTTCTAAACAGTTGAAGGCGCGAGTTGCTGATCTTGAGACGGTGCACGGTATCATTGCCAAGCAACTGACACGTGCGCGCACTGAGCTAGCTATTGTTCTTCTCCGCATGAGCCTGACTGGAACTGCTGCTGCTGCTGTGGATCCCGTGAAGTCTGACTGTGACTCTCCCTCAAATGTTTGATCTTTGGCTACCATTGGCAAAAAGAGGAAGTAGTAAACTCAGGGGGAGTTTATTTTTTGTGATTGTGATCGAGTACCTTCTGGCCCTGGCTGGGCGTTATGTTTTGATATCGTTTTTGTTTATTAGACTGCTTTGGATCTTATGTTCTTTTTATCCTATGTAATCAGTTTGGACACATGGGTTGCTTCTTTTAATAACCTATCTTAGTTCTTTTTTTTTTATATATATTTGAGTTGTTTTGCCAAATAATAGCCAAAGCGGGAGTTTGTTAGTGTTTTTATGTTCAAAAAACCCAAACTATAATTGGCAATATTATTATGGCATACTAAGATAGGTTTAGAGTCTGTCCGGTTGGGTCTACAGTTTACTGATCAAGCAGAAGCAACAACAGAAGAACTGACACTGAAGATCTGAATTAGGAAAGCAGTTTCCTTAAGAGTCTTACGCGGTATTATCAGCCCAGTATGGAAAGACGATCAGCGTATCTTCAAAGAAGGTAATGGACCTAATCTGCTGAGATTACATTCCTCTTTTATAGTCCTACCTTTTACAATCAAAGACGTCTATGGAGAGTGTTTATTGAAGGATCTATAAGTACCAGTTCTTGAAAGGAACTAGGTTTACGCCAAATAAGAAGAAGAAACACTCCATATCAGCTTGATGAGACTAGATCTTTAATTGTCATGCACCTTCTCAATACAACATGTTCACGGTGATTAAGATGATGAACTTGAGAAGAGTTACTGCTGCTTAAACGAAAGGACACTAAGATCACACTGTTGTGGGAACAACCTTATAGGGCGTCACTGAAGTGGACTGCATCAGAGTGGGCTCTCCAAGTGAAGGGATTTCATTGGACTTCTGTATGCATGGCTCTCCATCTTCAACAATCCACTAAACCTGTGTAGACTTGGTATGTACCTTGTGTGGGGCACTTGGGTAAGATTATTGTATATATACCTTTGTACATTGGATTTTGATTTAGTGGATTGGACGCCTATGTGATCGTCCCCCAGATGTAGATACACATCGTATCGAACTGGGTAAACATTGTGAGTGTTCGTTCTGTGTGTTTGTTTATTTTTCTCTGATGTTCTCTTCATGATCTATCATTACTTAGTAGGCGCTTAACTGAATCAATCAGTATTCTAAGTCAGCCAACCATTTCTGATATTTTACGTAAAATGAGGAAATGCAAAATTACAACAGGAACGGTAACAAAGAACAAAGGTAACTCGGGGGAAAGAAGGCTCACAAGAAGAGGCTTGGTTCAACGAAGAAGGTTAGAGCAAAAGGTTTAGGTTTAGAAACTCAAGGACCATGTTACTTAAAGGTAGAATCAAAGTCATCAAATTTGCAACATGGGAAATAAGGTTGCCACCTTGCACAGAATCGTTAGAAGCGGGGAATACAAGAACGAGGTTTAAAAGGATAGATAAGGATTTCCTAACGGAAGAGTTCTAGGTTTAGGTCCAAGGATAGCATTGTTTAGGAAGGGAATCAAGATTTTCAAAGTCACAACTTAGAAAAATGAGGTTCTAACCTTGTACAGAGTCAAGGTAAAGAGAGGAAAACGGCTTAAAGAGGGTTAAGGATTCTCGACTTCGGGCGAAAACGTCTGTTCGGCGCTTGATCACTACACTCTTGTCGAACTGAAGGTTCTTTTCTTCGATTCTGGCACGACATAACTCTTAGACCTTGCCAGATTTCCTTCAAAAGCTAAAGTCACCGTCGCCTTACAAAGATGGTTAGGAAAGATAACAGGAACAAGGTTCGGAAGAAAAATGATTACTTGGAAAAATGATGATGGGGTTCGTCTAGGAGGAGGAAAATGATTCAAGAGGGTCAAGGGTTCTTTGAATTCAAACGGTTTCTTCTGCTTGACAAGCTAAGAACACCCGTAACTTACTAAACTTCTCTAGAACTCTTGAAAACCCAAGAAGCTTGGCGTCAAAACCAAGGTCAAAAATGACTCTTAAACTAGCTAACACCCGAAGCTAACACGCAAGGAAGGACACGGAGGCAAAGAGATGTGCAACAAAAGGGTATAAGAACTTGCATCTGACTCACGTCTGTGGATCTTGCCTCGCCGAGGTCTCGACTTCGCACACGAGTCATAGCTGCTTCTTCCACTGAGTCCACCGTTGATTCCCCTTGGAAGCTAACTTCCCGACTGAGGTCTCACACTACCAGCTGGTTTCGGGCTTGCTGAATTCTTCCTCTTAGGCACACACTCAAAGGACCATTGACCTTTCTTACCACAAGCAAAACACTCTACCGGCTTCCCAAAACAGTCCATGTCGGGGTGGCCACTTCCACACTTCTTGCAAACGGAGCGCCTTCCCTTAACCTTGTTGTTCCGGATTGGTTGAGGAATCTTATCACTCTTAGAGTCGTTGCTTTGAAGACTTCAAGATGGTTCAGCACCGGTAAATGACAAACTCATAACCACAGGCGCAACACTTGTTTCAAAACTCCTCATACGGGTCTCCTGGATTCCTTTCTGAACATGCTGCACCCGGTAGAGGTCGATTGCACAAAGGTAGGCCTTATTGAGAGTCTTGGGCTTTGACACAGTCAAGGCTTTCCGAGCTTCGAAGTTGAGTCCGGCCACAAACTTCTCAACTTTACTCTCCCCGATAGGTACCAAAACTGAGGCGAAACGGGCTAACTCCAAAAACTTCTTATGGTACTCCATTACCGATATGGATACTTGCTTAAGGTGGAGAAACTCCTCGTACTTTTCCACCTTGACATGAGCAGGATAGAACCGCTCAAGTAGCTTATCCTTTAAGCTTTCCCAACCAAACTCCGGATCTTGTCTACAAGCGGGTCTTTCAAACATGCACCACAAGTCCGCTTGTTGCCTAAGGTAGAACGTAGCCAACTCTACTTGGCGATCCTCCGGGCAGTCCACAACTTCAAAGATCTTGTCAAACATCCGGATCCACTCTTCCAGCATTGCTGGATCATCTTCATCGGCGAAGATCGGGGAACGGAGACTTGATACTTGGCGTACTACGTGCCGATTCTCATTCTGAGGAGGGTGGCTGTTGTTGAGGAGGGCGTTGCTCAGCGTTTGGGTGATCTGCGTCAGCTGATGTAGGCTTTGAACTAGCTGATCGTTGGTGGCCGCTTCTGAAGTCCTTGCACGACGTCTCGATGGGGCCATCCTTGACTTCTACAGAAACAGCATGATAACGGGAGAAAACTTAGAAGCCCTCACCCTTACTCGGTGCCATAACATAAAATATCCCACAACAGAAAGAAGGACAAAGCACAGGAAGCACAACAGAAAAAGATAAGAGAATTGACAACCTCACCGCGCGTCCTAAGGTTCCTAAGACTTAGGTACTTGAACACTTTGGATTCGAGCTTAACTTCTTAAGGTCTTACACTTCAAATCACGAACCTAGATTCCAATCTAGGTTCTTAAAGTCCAACTCTTAACCTCCTAGGCTCAAACCTAGGCTCTGATACTAACTGTAACACCTCCGATTTTTCCATATTTTTAAAACTTAATTGCAAGAGATAGGCAAACTAATCATCTATTAAACATAAAGTGGAAGCAAGTCTCATCGGGAGTATTATGCCACATCTTACAATACTAAAGATGCACAGGCGGGAAAACTAAACGATTAAAGCAAGTCAATAAGAGTCAAGGCACACAGGCTGCTCAAAAGGCTCACAGGCCATGAAAAACAAACGTCTAGACAAGGTGACTAACTATCTAACGCTCCAAGTCTAGTGCTCTCGGGCATCTACTCATAACCTGTAGAAGAAGGGAAACATAACATGGGGATAACACCCAGTCAGCGAATATTGCTGGTAACCCATCAACACGCGTTAAGTATAATAATATACATAGATATAAACAAAAGCGTTTGAAACCGGGAATACATTATATATCATTTTAAAGCCGGGAGAGGAAACTTCAATAGACTCATCAATCAAGACAATAGAACCACAAGCAACAAGTTCAACAACAAGGTACAACATGCGATACACAATGAAGGATTCAAAATAGACATGCTCTTAAGCAATGGAAGGCCAGATTCACACCATAACGAGTTCCAAGTCCACATAGGACACTATCACACCAAGTCATATACCGTGGAGTCAGCACCATGGCCCGATTCATAGTGGATCAGTGTGGAGGGCTCCAAATCATCAACAAACATGTATCACGTGGTCATCGCAATGACACAGATCACATGCATAGTGTCATCACAATGACAAGGACCGCAACCCAATGGAGACAGAGCTAGCAACTTTAAGTGTATGCACCCCCTATTAAGATTCCAAGCTCAACGGGTTAGCTACCATCTCTGGCAACGAGGATAAGTTTCCCATGTTGCCCAGAAGTCAGAAGTAACCAAACGGCAATCCGGAGCTTCACTACCAGTCCGTTTACACATAAGTCCTCACACTGTCCACATTACCAACTCAATCATCTCATCTCACCAATCCATCATCTCATCAAGAGTAAATACACACAGAATCTAGAGATACAACAACACCTATATTCCACACAAAGTGTGTATTACAAAGGATAAGCTCAATAATAGCTTAATGAATGAATAATCATACACACGGGGTCACATCAAGGGATTCAATCAAGGGGTTTCAATGAAGGACATGAAACGATACTCAACAACAACAAAGGACAACAATCCAACATCAAATGATTGACAACACAAGTTGCCAACCCCAATAAGGAGGAACAAACCACAAATACTAGCATAACAACATCTGTGACACCCCAAAATCCAAATTCAATTAGTGGATTAATTGAGTAATTAATCCTATTTCAATTGGTGAATTAATTCCTAAAATCCTGAAATTCAATACTTGGGGACTAGTATTTGACTAGTCAACCCCAAAGTCAATGTTGTACCTTGAGCTTTTAAGGGAGTTCCCTTGTCCCTTACACTTTCTAATGTTAGTAAGGGCATTCTTGACCTTTCACCTAGTGTTAGTATTGTAACCTAACCTAGTAGACATCTTCATTCTATCCCTTACACTTTCTAAAAATTTAGCTCTACCTTCTCTCTAAAAAGGTGAGTAGCTTTTCTTCCAAGCAAAGTTGAGGCCTTGCTAAGACTTCAAGAGTTACGTCCAAGATTCAACCTGATGGTTTTAGGGTTTTCGGGCCCAAGGAGGTCCAACACAACCTTTGGTCGGAGGATACACCTCTCAATAAAATGTACGTCTAACTCAGAGGTAATGCTAGTGCTCGGAATATCTTTGTTATTTACCCCTCTCCCGGGTGTCCGAAAATGTCTACCTTTTACAAGAATGGAGGAGCCTTTATATAGTGGCTCCTCCTCTGCCGACTTGAAGGCCCTTAATGGCCGACTTCAAGGCTAATCAAGATATGGAGCCGTTGGACACCATTACTCGGTCGACCAACGGCTCTCCTAGGCTTGTAACAGCCCGACCGGGTCCTGCCTTCAATGCTTCAACGGCTCTCTTTTAAAGGAACCCCTGTAATGCCCTCAACGGCTCCTCGAGCCGAGTCTTTTCCTGGGCTTGGGCCTCGGCCGACTCCTGGACTCGGCCCGATTGCTCTTTGGGCTCCTCTCGATGCTGGCCCACTTCTATTTTCTTTGGGCCCCTATCTCTTGGGCCGGGGTCCTTACCCCATCAACTAGTCCCTCACTTTTCCATACCCGGTCCTCCATCCTGGGTTTGGAAAAGTAACAACTGCTCGTCTCCTTTAATTACCGTATCCGTGCCCTGAATAGCCCCTTGTAACGTCCGGATCGTCAGCCATTCTCCCCTGATCTCGCGGAGCCGTTGGGATTCTTCCGTCTAGGCTTGGTACCTATAAATGGCCTCCTCCCTTCTCTCTTATCTTCACAAGTTCATCATGGGTCGCTCTCCTTTGAAAGGAAAGCGAATCGACTTCGGGTCTCCTTGGCGTCCGCTGCCTTCTAAGCGGACCCGGCCTGAAAGGGAACATAAAAAGAAGGCTCCTCGCCCGGCTTCCCAGAGGTCCCCAGTTGGCGCTGCTTCTTCGGCTTCTCGGTCGCTGACCCCTTCTCCACGAGAGGTCGCTCCACCTTCACGCCATACGTCTACGCCCACAACTGCCCGAGTGACTTCCCAAGACGGGTCCTTCGTTGAGGTGGCGGTTCCAGAACAACTTACCTTCAAAATGACTTTCTCCATCCCGCTGGACGACCTGAACGGGCCGGTCACGGGCCTAATGGATGACGAGGATTACGCCCGCTACCTGGAGGCGTATCCGGATGATGAGGAACCCATTGCGCCACCGCTCATGCCAGCTTTCTGGGACTCGTTCTGCCCCTCTCCCCCTGGACCATCGGGGGGATTCTTTGGGGGCGACTCTTCCTCGCCTGGCGAGTGATCTTATGTACCGGAGTCGGTCATAGATCGGAGGAATCTCTTTTAGGAGAATTTTCATATTCCTTATTGTAATAAGCTCCTTGCTGCTTGTACCCTCCTTTTCCATAATAATAATAAAAGCGCTATTTTCGTCTTGCCTTATGTTTTGTCGTGTTTTGTTGCATACCCATCCAGACGACTGGTCAAGGAGTCGGTCACATCATCAGGTTCTTTTCAGTCTGACACCTGCAAGATTCCCCATAGCTCGGGTAAATCCAATCTTCTCTATGTTGGCGTGCGAATCTTGCTCTTCCCGGGCGGATCTGATGGAACTAATCTCTGACAAAGATTCGCGTGATCCGTCCAATCCGGCTCAGTTATGTCAGTCTCATCTGTGATTATTGCCTAGATATTCGCCTTCCCTGGGCTATATAAAGACCCTTCACAGTTGATGCAAATCGCAACACTCTTCATTTTGCGAAAGCACGGCGCTATGAGTTACAGGGATGGTGATCGCCGCTGGTCCATTCGCAACAAGGAGCATGCTCGACTGGAGCAGTTGAGGCAGAAGAGGCTGGCTAACGGAGGTCGTTTGGTGGGCGACTCGGCTTCAGACCCCAACGTGGTGCCTCCAGACATACTGGACCTGATGTGTAGGGAGCCTATCGATGTGGAGATGGAGCCTGTGGTGGAGGATCCAGAACCAATGGTGGAAGAGAAGTGGGAGGCTCCTCCCCTCTTTGGTGTTGCCATGTCGCCGAGCGCTTTGGAGAGGCCTCTGCAAATGATTGACGATGGGAAGCCGGCCGTGTATCTGGACGAGATGCCAGAGCCTGAGCCGAGTCCTCTACCATTCCGCCCCCAGTACTTTCTAGAGGGTCCTCCGACTGCCCGCTCGTCGACAGAGAAGGAAGCCAAGCCATGACTCTGTTTTTCCTTTGTAGTTTGCATCGGCCGAGCTCTGGGCCTTGTAATCTTCGTACTAATTAAATAAACTGTGTGCTTTTCTATCCGACCGCGCAATTTCTTACTATTTTATCGCCCGACCTCGGATCTATGAGACCGACGCCTAGTCTTGTTATGGAGAGGTACTCCTGCTGGGGAGTCGCCGAGTCCGATCGCCGACCTTGCAAACGGAATCTCTTTGTGAGCTCGTCCGGTATCCTTGGACGAGCCGGGCTCTATCGGGTAGCTTCTAGAAGCTTCCGGCTCGTATTTCGTGGGCCCAGAGGCCATGGCCCACTACGGTCTTCCAGCTTAGCAGGCCGGGTCTCGTGACGTTCGATCCTAGCCTAGGACAGACGCGCCGTCTGTGGGCTAACCCTAGACCTGAACCGTCGCCCCGCCTTTTGAGGCATTAAATGCGGCGTCCCTTCACGTCTCGTCACCTCCACCTCCTCCAACGAGAAGGTGGCACGTGGCCGCCCTTTGAAATTCCTACCCTTCAAATAGCCACTTCGTCTCTCTTTCCACTCTCTTCTCCAGTCTTCTTCTTCAGCTTCAACTTCGAGCTTCTCCGGCCACTCTGTTCCTCCTCCGATTTCCCTCCTGAATTAGGTAATGTCTTCTTCCTCACGTTCTTCTTCTTCTTCCCGTCGTTACTCGGTTGAT